CGAACATACGACCTATCTGATAATATTAGCCCTTGAGCCGTAATAGCTCAAAAGTAAAATTAACAGTACGTGAACCTTTTTAACCCGGATTCGATTATTTTTAATTAATACATAATTATTATTAGATAATTAATATGAAATATAAATGATAACAGGTATATCAAAAATATATGAGTGTCTTATTTATATTAATATCAAAACATAATATTGTGAAATGATAGAGTTATATTATCAGTTGAATTGCAAACTATTTAGGTTCGTATTTATTTTCGCAAATAAATTTTTTATACACCGTGCATTCTCTTTAATTTACATAGTACTTGTTTACAAATTGTGGACAGAGCCGTTGTTATAGAACAATACATTAATTAATTTGTCTCTTCGGCTGGGCAAATATATATTAAATAAACGTAATATGAGTTCGCCACTCAATGCTTTCAGATCTTAGGAACAATACGCGTATTTTCTTAGTGTCTATTCTTTACAATAGAACACGTAAATAAAAATATAAAGAATTATGTACACTTCAAGAACTTACCTTCTTTGTTTTCGTATAAATGAATTTCTCAACGCCTTCGCATTTTTGAATTTGCAATCGAGGCGAGTATGGAAAAATATTTTGTGACGACTTCGCAGACATATTAAAATGCAATGCATGCGCATTTGATTTGCTCGTAGGACGCAAATCCGGTCCATTTTCAATAGAAAGCGTGTATCATCTAGATACATGAAATACATGACCAATGAGGTGTTTATTTAGATTTTGTAAGTTTTTTTTGGACTCGGAATATGTTTTAAAAGGAATTATATTTAATAGTACTATATAATTATATATATAAACAAAGAGTAGGGCGGCTTCTATTATGAAGCCTAGCCTAGAAGGTTTCTGGCGATCTAGTAAGATGGAGTAACGAACTGGTGAGAGATACAGGAAGTCGAAACATGCAGGTTGCTCAGGACCGTGCTCTGTGGCATTCCGTGGGAGAGACCTATGTTTAGCAGCGGACTTGTATCTTCGAATAAGAATCAAAACACAGATACGTTGTCACCTCTGGGGACTGAGATAGAATGCCTCGTTTCCAGTAAAAAGGGTCTTCGGTTCTCTACACTCATCATACGAAACACAGCAGCGTTAAGCTGCCCATTCGTATTACAACCATGATATAGCTAAGCGTGGCTTTACCACGTAATTGCTATTACAACCGTCATACCACCTGCAAAGTGGTGACATGATTAAGACATATTCTCCTTAGAACGGGGGTGATCTATGTCCACCAGTGGAATTTTAGGGGCTGACGCAGAAAATGATTAAAGTTGGTAAAAATTACGTGTTTCGCCTCTACACGTGTAATATTGTTGTCAATGGTGTGTCTTTCCCAGTGTAGTGGTGTTAGTGGTGACGGGGATAGTGCACGCAATGAGGGCATCCACAACTTTTTCTGCCACCAGGGCGGCGCCACTTTACAGTGAGGTAAAATATTTGACAGATTTCATAGCGGGGACGATAATTCCTTAGGAAAATGTAATATTTAAGGTTTCTTTCCGTATTGTTAGTTATATTTTATATTAATTACATTAGAAATGATTAAACCAAACTATAAATATAACTTAAAGTAGAAAAATTAAAAAAAAAGAGTTATAAAGTGCAAAAAATTAAAAATCAAACCACTGACGCATTGTGTTGTATATTAATATAATACTCTAGATAATGATAAACTATTATTTAAAACTAATTTCTCAATTAACTGACACTATGTAACGAAAAACTTTACCTCAGTCACAACTAGCGACATCTGGTGAGTTGAAGATTATTAGCCCTCATTGAGGGAGGTGCTCTTCAAACTAGGCAAGACATATTATTTTATTTTATCGAGCGGATGTACGCGAGGTAATTTTTACCAACTTTAATATAATGGATTACGGCAAAGTAACGCCTGATTCTATTAATTAGCAGAAGATGATCTTTGCACTTTTGAGAATTTTGACAGATATTGTTTAATATCCAGTCACGATTTTACTTCTATTTCTTTACTATATATGTACTATGTCAGAATGTTATAAAATGGCGTTAGAATATTAACTACCACATATTGTCCCGTGGGTGTCATAAGAGGGAACAGAGGGAAACAAACTAGGAAATGGGCAGCGGCGTCTTTCGAATAACAACATAAAAAGCTGCGGTTGTCAACCTGCCTACCATTCGTGGCAGTTATAGCAAATATCCCACCATAAGGCAACCTATGGCGAAGGCCTATTTTCAGCAGCGGACTATCGATAATCTGTAACGGTACGGTCTTTAACAAAATCTAATAATTATAACTTTTAACAAAAAGTAAAAACTGACTTCAAATTGCTAAAAAAGAAGTTATTTATTTGCTACCCTTTTGTGTGGAATTCTTTCTTCAAATTTATATGGGACTACCCTTGAGTTTAGCCTATTTAATAAAAAAAGAAATATTAAAATCGGTTCTCAATCAGCGAAGGTATCATATGAAATTCCTTAAACAATAGTCCAATATGAAACTCTTTCCCCTATTTTCCACCCTAGGGTGCGGAAGTTTTTCTTTAAAATTTAATGGGACCACCCTCGAGGTAAAGCCTATTTAATAAAAAAAGAATCATTAAAATCGGTTCAAAATCTGTAAAGATATCACGTAACATACATCCTAAAAATAACATACACTCGAATTGAGATCCTCGTCCTATTTTTTTTAGAATAAGGGTAACAATCGAGTACACGGTCCACCTGATGGTAAGTGGTTGCTGTGGCCCATAGACATCTTCGTTTACGAATTAAAATGCAGATGCGTTGTCAGCCGTGAGGACTAAGATGTGTGAATGCCTCTTTTCCAGTAAAATGGGTCTCCGGTTCTCTACACTCACCATACGAAACACAGCAGCATTAAGCTGCTATTTTGCGCTGGTGTTCTGTGAGAGCGTGGTCCTTCCCCGTTCGGGCCGACCCATTCGTACTAAAACTATACTATTACTATAGCTGCAGCATGGCTTAAAAAATACCTTGTTAAAATGAATATTGTTATTGACATTAAAATCCCTATTCTTAGAAGTACTTCCTGATTTCTTATTCATACTGAGAAAATATCGTGAAGAGCTTCATTACAAGGAATCAGTTTCCACTTATTAAGGCTAACAGCCCTGTTTATTTAGATACATTAAATTTTCCAAGCATCTGAAGCTCAGAAGTATCCTCTTTAAGCACCAATTATCTGTATAATAACTTACTTCAGTGCGAAAATTGAACAACAAAACGTTCAATTCGTTACAATTTTCAAAAGCCTATTAAGGTGCTTTAATATTACTTGGTGGGAAAGTAAGAGTAAAAGTATTATATTACGAAATGATTTTAAGTGGGATTCATTCATTGATTTTAGCCCATTTTTTTTTGAAGTGAATAAATCTTTAGGCACGTTTGAGATGGGGAAAAGCACTGAACTCATGACCGCCTCGCTCAGATACATAAAATTGATGAAAGTAATGTTGAAAATCCAATTGATACAATTTCATAAAATTGATATACATATACATATTTATGAATTTGTATTATATAGATAATAATAATTATTTTTCATGTAAAACAACGCAATAAATGAAAATTTTATAACTATATTAATACGTTGATAAAAATAATTTCTAATAAAAAATACTTCCTAAAAATATTTCTTAAACCAAAAAAAAAATGTTTATAAGTTTGTGACTCTAAGAAGCTTTCACATCTGACGTGTAGTCCTAGGACTGACAGTTTTTTTTTCTTAATGGTTACACTACACTAGTTCTGACGTGGGTATATTATTCATTATCACACCATTACTTTTTTGTACACAGTTTTTTATTTGGTAATTTGTTATAAAGAAGGTACCTCACAGCTGCGATTTAATACAAAGTGAAGTGCCCTCTTAATAAATGGTAAAGTTGTTTAAAATTTTAATAACTATTTAGATTTTGTGAAGTAATATAAAAAATAATTTGAATTTGACTTATTTTCTAACTTTTTTCTTATTTGATCTCTGTCCGGAATATGACAGTGAGGGAATAGAGAGTGTACCTTTGCTTGCGTTTACATTCTGGTAGATTCAGCGCAGATGGCTAGTCTAGTCTCCGTTGAGACTGAGACTTTGAAATTTATTAGTTAAAAGTCCACTGTTGAACCTCCGTGATAGAGCATAAGCCTCCCACACTGTTGAACGTTGATGGTCTCCTAAGGGGGAATATTAACCGTAGTTGCCACGGTTGGCAGACGTGTTTATTTTCAGTTGTTGTTGGGAAGATACCGCTGTGACGGCTGCGTGACGCAGTGGCTTAGAAATGAGTTGCAGCGCTGGGGGCCGCGGGTTCGAATCCCGCACGGAACAAGTATTTGTATGGCCTACAAATAGTTGTTCCGGGTTTGGATATTTGTACGTATATAATTGGAAAAATTCTAGGGTGGGGTAACGTTATTAAAAAAATAATTATAATTAAAATGTTAATAATCAATAAATTATTGATTTTATTACGTCGCCACTACACGGCGAGATGTTGATGAAGAAGTGACTTACAATTAATTAGTTAGCCCCTCAAAAGGGTAAAAAATAACGTCTAGTAAAAAGTGATACCCAACTTCAAAGGATATAAAAAGAAATATAATTTCACATTATGACCAATAATATGTGTTTGCACCGACTTTTACTCGAAAATTGTAGTTGGTGGAAGTCGGCTTTTATTTATATTAAAAGTTATTATTTAAGCTTATGTACATTATAACTAATTTCATCGTTAACTGCCATAGATCAATTAATATTGAGTATTGATTTACACCAATATATAATTAGGTATATTTATATTGGTGTAAATCAATACTTGTTATTTTTTTTATATTCAGTGACTCATATTTTTTATTTTAACTTTAAAGAATTTGTATTATCAGTATATATCGGAATATATCAAGTTACTTCTTCTTGTTTTTGATGGAACAAACTGCTTTATTGTATCCTCTTTTTCAGCAATGGTAGCAACAGCTCCAGGGAGCTCGAGCAGTCAGCACCTAGTGAGACAAGCGGCGGGGGGGAAGCCGAGCCCCGCACGCCTGCAGCTCCGGCCGACCGATACGAAGACTTGTTAAGGATACTCAACGCTCAGCTTCAAGGTCGCTCCGAAGACAACCCTGTTATAATTCCACCGCATCGCGACTTAAACGTGTTGAGACCTGAAAATCCTACGATTGGGGAGATGGAAGACTTGGAGCCAAGGTAAATAGTAACTTCTTCGGTGGACTGTCAGCTTGTTTGTCATCTCACTCCATAAAAACAATGGACTTGATCATCATCATTAAATCCCTTCATGAATCCACTGCTGAACGTAGGCCTCCCCCCAAGGAACCCGAGCCACCTGCATCCATTGACAGGTCGTCACTCCATCTAGTGGGGTGACGCCCTACACTTCGCGTGTCGGTACGAGGTCGCCACTTGAGAACCTTTGGACTTCAATAGGGTACAAAGTGAAAGAATAATTACAAGTTGGGAGACATTCTATCTTAGCTACGGAGTTGACAACACAGCTATAGTCTTCTTTGTTTGAACGGCTGCAGATATCCATGGACAGTAGTAGCCCCTTATGATCAGGGGGTTTGTAATTTTGTTTGTACACTTTAGTTTTATAAAAGTAGTAAATAATTTCAATTTTAATCCAACGTTTGAAAAGTAGCAGTGTCCTAGTTAGTATTCCGTTTTAGTTAAACATCGTCCATGAACACTCAAAGCTGTGCACCCGTTAAGTTAAAATAATTAAAATTGTTCAACGAAAAATGGCGCCAAAAGGAAATTGTGAGGAAAATTCGCCGAAAATTGCCGACAGCTGACATCCACAAGTACAATTTATGTAGCGCGCTGCGAGACGCCGAATTAAATTGTTACTCACTTCGTTATTGCCGCAATTAAACTTGGATAACACGAAAATTAGCAGACTTAAATATTATGTTCTTCTTGGTGTCGTTAAAATTTTATCTAATATCTATTTACATTGTTGAGGCGTATCTGGGGATTAGAATGCGCGCCTGGTTAATTGTGCCCACGGTAGAGTCTTACCGATTAAATCAGAATTTCATAATCTAATATATCATCATTCATCATCATTACAGCCTTTCATAAGTCCACTGCTGAACATAGGCCTCCCTCAAGGAATGCCACAAAGCACGGTCCTGAGCCACCTGCATCCATCGACTTCCTGCATGTCTTACCAGGTCGTCACTCCATCTCGTGGGGGGTCGCCCTACACTTCGCCTACCGGTACGAGGCTGCCACTCTAGAACCTTTCTTCGCCCATCAGTTGTCGATTCTTCGAGCTATATGGCCGGCACACTGCCACTTCAGCTTATTAATCTGTTATAAATATTAATATTCTTACTAATATATATAAAAAATAATTTTTGTTTGTTCGTATTTTATAAGCTGCCGTGCCGTTCATCAGATTACAATAAAACTTTGTCAATTTATCAATTGCATTTCCGCGAAGGTTATAGGCATAGTACAATTAACTTACAGTAGGTGGCGCGCGTATCGTACCGAAAACTTTATTTGAAAGTAATATATCACTCAACTCAATAAAATGTATTATCATTCCTAATTAAGCAATACTCGTATATTGTAAGTCTTCCAAATTTGAAATGATATTTCCACAATTATTTTTTCTGCGGCAATAACGCGCAGGGAACCAGCTAGTGCTCGACATATTTTTTAACGTATATACGAGTATAGAACAGAACGCAAACGAACTGGGAATTGATCACCGTTGTCCAAGACACATTTTTAACACCAAAAGTATTGGAGGTGCGTTGTTGGCCTTTTTAGAAAGGGAGTAAACTCTTTCATTATTTTGTATTTCATTTTGATTTTTTTGATTCGAAAAAAATAACGCTGGTGATACTAAATTCCATTATGTGGTCGTACATATGTTGTTTTATTCGTTTTGTTAATAATATACAAAGACCATAAAACAATATAAAATCTATCCAACTTTACATTCAAAGATCCTTCACAAATGCATTTTTTGCTCTAGCGGCTTCGTACTACATCACCATGCTTTTAACCACGGCATCATTTGAGGCATTATTGAAGAATCTTTTATACTGCAGTGGATTCAGAAGACAGATAAAGAACTCAATTATTATGCCTCGCTAAGCGAAAACAACCAATTGTATCATCATCATTATCACATTGCCGGCAGTCGTGCTGTATATACGCCTCTCCAGGGACTCGCCACTTAGTCTTGTCCTTGGCTTCAGCACGCATCCAATTGCTACCAGTCACTTTGTGCAAATCGTCGCTCCATCTACTCAAGGTGCGACCCATATTACGTTTGTCTAGGCACGGTCTCCACTCCATGACACGTGTAGTCCAACGATTAAGTAATGTGTGTTGTTCATTTTTTGAATAAAATGAATTCATTTAAATAAAACTAATTTTATCGCGTACATTAACTTATTTTATATTCCCGACGTTTCGGGCACTTTTCAGCACCCATGGTCACGGGGGGGACTGAGGTGTATGACGTCCCACTGTCATAGTTAACCACGGCTACCTTTAGATTAAAAATTATTAATTTTTGTTCCGATCTACGCAGTATGAACTTACAGTATCATGCTAAAATTAATTCATTCTTATTGAAAGGAAACTTTGAGATTTTTTTTAATTGGCTCTAAAAACCCACTTATAGGTTAAAGTGCACTTTGCCTCATAATACCTTAGACCTCTGAGGTAACAACGCACCTGCTGCTTCTTTGTTTGAGGTTGGCTACAGGTGTCAATGGACGGTAGTAGCCTGTTTGACCTGTTTCGACTGTAAGTTCTTTTGTTACTTCAGTTTTATGAAAGTAATATTTTTTAATTATAATATTTAATATAATTTTATTTATTTTTTTATTTGAAAATCAATGTCAGTTGTCCTGCTGATGTCTGTACATTACAGCATCGTAACTCTGAGCGCTAAATACATGTACTTAATAGTCCTCACTTGTAACCTAACCGTCTCCTTTGTTTTAAAGACTAACTAGAGACACTGTAATACATAATACATCCGGACCCGAAAAAGCATTCATGTGTAGTTACTTAGACCTCAGACCGTTTGCAAACAACAACATAGTATTAGAGGTGTATGTGTAGTGTGTACGATCTGTGAGAACACGATCTTACAATAAGTTGAGCATGATTTTTGTGTCTTTAAATGTGTGTTGTTTTCTGTGTATCTTTCTTTGGTTTGTGGTGTAAATATAGACTTTAACTAGAATTTCGAAACTCGCATTTGTTGTCACATCAGTTATTCTTTACGTTAAATTTTTTTCGTTTATTTTTATGTTCAATAGCAATATTAAAAAAAAAAACATATTTGTATGTTAACCACAGTTGCTTGTAAAAAAAAATAATTTAAAATTAAAACTTCGTACAGCCGACTTCAATATAAATTATTAAGAATAACTCAAAAACTATTGGTCAAACATCAGCTTTCAAATAAAAAAAGAATCATCGAAATCGGTTCACCCAGAAAAAAGTTATGAGGTAACACACATGAAAAAAAAACATACAGTCGAATTGAATACCGTCTCCTTTTTGAAGTCAGTAAAAAAAGCAGCAATCTGTCGCTTGTACATATTTGAAATTATTAATATCACAAAGCAATAAAGTAACGTGTCTTAAAAGCCAGTACTTTCATTTCTGCCAGGCTCTGTACTGAGCACTGAACTATGCATCAAAATCAAACAAGTTGGTCGCTACAGCGCTTGACATAATTTCCCCAAAGTAAATATTAGACCAAATCTCACAGGGACACCGTCGAGAAATGAAAAAATATCGTATCATTACTGCCAACATTTACTTATTTATACCCCTCCTTTTCACAATGCACCGTAAAAAGTACCATTATATTATACTTCCATAACAAGCTGATACTATATGTAACAAATATGGCAACCTTTTTTATCCTGTAGAACAAATTTCCCAAGCTCAGTCAGGAATCTCATTTAAAAATCCAGTTACGGTCTGTGTCGAGATAGGCGCGGGTCTTTTGACAATAAAACTAAATGGAACGAATGCATGAAGGCTTCCTCAAATGCCGCTTATGATATGACGGGCCTCCTTATGGCTCAAATTCATGTATGCATGTGTAGTACGGAAAGGTTTATATGGATAGTTTGGTGATTTATTGCCTAAATTATCTTACTAGCAAGAATCTTGTGAAGCGGAATATGTTCTTTTTTTAAATTTCATGTATGATCTATATTATGTCGCAGCCAAATATCTTAATTAGCCTTTCAGTTAACAGTCTAGCCTTTTTACTTAACGGCATCGTTTAACTAGCGGTCTGAATGTTAAGTGATGCGTCTAAAACAAATTTCATGCCTAATTATGCGCTATGTGGTATCTCTACAAATAAAAAAAATTGAAGTGTCTGTTTGTAATGTTAAGAATAACAGCGTTTTACTATATGCATGTCAAAGTATATACGGTACTTATAACAAAAACACGATTTTTAAAATTATTTTCTGTCTGTTTGTTCCGACTAATCTCCGAAACAGCTGGACCGATTTCGACCGGACTTTCATTGGCAGATATCTGCTGATATAAGAAGTAACTTAGGCTACTTTTATTTTAGAAAAAGAATTGGGGTTCCGCGCAAAAAATTAAAACCCATGAAATCCAATCGCAATAAATTACACGCCGGCAAAGTCGCGGAGAACAGCTAGTATTATATAGACACACCTTAACCTACTGTCGCTGATATTACAAGATAGTTGCATTGTTGTATTAGACGAATGTCTAGAATATCATTCAAGTCACTAGTTGAAATTAAAAAGGCTAGGCTGTAAACTGAAAGGCTACTAAGCTAGCTGCTGCTGACTAACTAACTAGTTGGCTGCAAAATATATATCCCACTATGTATTTTATCGAGTTCAAAAAACGAGAAGGCTCTATCAACGCGTATTTTTAACACGTTCACTGATTTTTTTAAACGGCTGAACTGATTAAAATGATTATTTTTTTATTAAATATGTTCCCCGCGTGTAATTTGGGGTTTTAATCTTGTTGCGCGGAACCCCAATTATTTTTCTAAAATATAAGTAGCCGAAGTTACCTTATAACATTAGCTATTTGCCAGTGAAAGTCCCGCAAAATCGGTCTAGCCGTTTCCAAGATTAGCCGGAACAAACAGATAGACAGTTGTGAAAATATATACGGTACTTAAAACCGTACCGTATATATTTACGGTAATGAATACTGTACCGTATATATTTTCATATGCATTTAGTAAAAAGCTGTTTTTTCTGACATTACAAACAGACACTTATATTTTATTTATTAATTTGTATTTGTATTTGTATAGATGCTATATTATTTCATGAGTGGGCTACGACAGCTACGGGACAGTAGGAGCTGGTGGATTCTTTTATGACGCTTACACAAATACCCAAACGCTGGTCAATTTTAACATGCCATTAAATTTTGTACTGTCTTTATCAGTCAAAGTGACTGTGACACGAGACTTAACCACATCTTAAAATTTAGTAGCGTTTGAGTATTTGGGTGTTAACTCGTTAAACGTTCATGTCATGTCCTATAGCGGGACAATCCGGCTTTTCGAATTCCCATTTCACTTGCCTACAATTCACACCAAAAGAGAGTCGATAAATTTTATAGTAGCCGACGGCTTCATTTCCAAATGCAGGTTATCGGAGCATGTCACAAATGGGGAGCGCTACATTATGCTCCTTAGTATTCCGTTCTATCATTCGCGTCGCCTGGAACCTCACACCTACCTCATGCGCGTCACGTTTACTTATGTGTACCACGCAGCCAAAACCAACAAGCCGCCGCCGTTAGAGAATCTTCCATGTAAATCTCGACATTAACGATCAGGTTTAGTGTGTGTGCGGAAATTTTAAAACAGATTTTCGACGGTCTTTGTTGAATTAATGCATTTACTGGTGATGTTGTTACTTTTTACCACGTTTTCATTAGGTCACTTTCTTGTTTGTTCGTCTGCCTGTGTGTCGTTCCGGGTGGAATTTAGTAATTGATTTTAAAATAACTTCGCGATGGGTTTGAAACTTGAAATTTTGAATATAGCTGAAATTGGGGTGACAATGCAAAAAAAAACTTAAATAGTAAAAAAAATAATACGTAATAAAAAAATCTTGTTATTTGTTTTGTATTCTTATGTAGAACTAAGTACATTTCTATCATTTAACATCCACTATTACAAAATACACTGTTAAAAGATATTTAAAAGATATTATAGAATATAGAATTAGCGTATTTCGTGATTTTCTTTTTCTTCTTCATCACACTGCAAAAGCCCACTGCTGGAAATAGGCATATCCGGTTGGGATAATATGAATTAACTTTAATCGCCACGGCTGTGAAGCGGATTAGTGATCACAGTACTATACGTCTCATACACTACACAACTATAAAATTATAATAATTATACATTATTTTAATGCATGGAAGTCACTATTGCGACTTTTTTTATATAGAATGAGGGTGATAAACGAGCACACAGTCCACCTGATGGTAAGAGAATGCTGTGGCCCATAGACATCTACATTTATCTTCGAATCAATCAAAATGCAGATGCGTTGTCAACCCTGAGGACTACAATGCCTTGTTTCCAGTAAAAAGGGTTTCCAGTTCTCTACACTCACCATACGAAATACAGCAGCATTGAGCTGCTATTTTACGCTGGTATTCACTGAGTGATAATTAGAATCCTCTATCTACGTATTGAACAATCGGCGAGCTCAATAGAGGCAATCTGACAATTTTTTACTTAAATTTCTAGAACGGTAAGAAGATGATTTAATCATTGTTCTGTTGCTTTATTCTTAATCTTTTGTGTAATTTACTGGGGCCTAATTTTACAGTTGTGAGAGAAAAGTTATCAATTAAATTTATTATAACCTGACGGAATATAAAAGTGAAGCGATTGAACTATTTAGTTCATAAAACTGTATTTTTTAATTTGTATATGTTGTTTTTTATTCTATATGAATCACCTTTACCTGATTTTTATCATGATTGAAAAATCACTTCTAATAAAGTGTTTCACCTACCGAGTAACCTTTGGTGGAAGAGTCACGCTGCGGCTGTATTATGGCTCCAAGTTAAGACATTCAATATAGTAGTGAGAATAGTATGGTCATCCGGTTAATATGGTCACTTTCTTATAACTCAAAAGCTACAGCCTTGTTTGCATAGATGGCTCTGTGATACGATAGCTCTTCATCACTCATTCAATTAATAAAGAATCAAAACATCGCTGCTTAAGACGCCATTTTGACAGTTGACATTATCTATACACATAAATAAAATTGAAGTATCAGTTTGTAATGTCGAAATAACAGCTTTTACTATATGCATATGAAAGTATATACGGTGCTTATAACAAAACACGATTTTTAACATTTTTGTCTGTCCGTCTTTCTGTCTGTCTGCCTGACTGTTTGTTCCGGCTAATCTCCGAAACGGCTGAACCGATTTTGACCAGACTTTCAGTGCCAGATAGCTGATGTTATAAGAAGTAACTTAGGCTACTTTTATTTTAGAAAAGAAAATTAGAGTTCCGCGCAAAAAATTAAAACCCATAAAATCCAATCGTAATAAATTACGCGCGGGCGAAGACGCGGGGAATAGCTAGTAGTAAATACGAGTCTTGTATAATATATAGATGTCAGTGATACGAGTACATATTTTAGTCGATTTTAGTATTGCGTAGTGTAGTTAGTTTTTGTAAGTTGATTTTTCGTAGTGTCCTGCACCACCAAAGCTTGATTGCTACTTTTTTCTTTATATATTAGTTACAAGCTGTTCCCCGCGACTTTGCCTGCGTGTAATTTAGGATTTTAAGTTTTTAGCGAGGAACCCTAATTATTTTTCTGAAAGAAAAATTGCCTAAGTTACTCCTTATAACATCAGCTATCTGCAAGTGAAAGTCTCGTCAAAATCGGTCCAGTTTCGGAGTTTAGCCGCAACAAACAGACAGACAGACAGACGGACAGACAGACAAAAATTTAAAAAAGTGTATTTTTGTTATAAGTACTGTTTATACTTTCATATGCATTTAGTAAAACGTTGTTATTTTGATATTACAAACAGATATTTCAATTTTATTTATTTGTATAGATAGTATACGACTTTGTGTTTTTGTCCATGTCCTCATCCTAGTTTTAGTTTTACAGGGTAGTTAAGGTACGCTCTACCTACTCTACCATATTACGCTCACGTACTTTATTTATTTTTAAAAGTGACAAAGCATCTAAATTTTGGTGACCACAGTATTCACTTATATTACCAAGACTTTTTTTGTTAAAAACGTTACCACCACACTAAGATTTTCTCCTGTATCGTGGAGGCAGTTTACAAACATGAATTGCACGAGCACAAACATCCAGACCCAGAACAATTTTTTGTGCGGGATTCGAACCCGCGCCTCCCCAGCGCCACAACTCATTGCTAAGCCACTGCGCCACGGAGCCGTCTTGTATGCTGCTTTAAAGAAATAAGAAAATATTTAGATACATAATCCCATAAACTACATATGTACGGGTTGTTACTTTTATTACTTAGGTAGGATCTATTAATGTGGCGTTATTTAGATTTAAAAATGTTTTATTTTATCAATTTGCCGTTTTTTTTAAATGTCCAATTTTTTCCGATACAATATAGCCTCGATCACTCCTGGCATTGCCCTTAATCTGTTCGTGAAGTTTTATTGCAATCGGTACAGCCATTCCGAAGATTAGCCCTGACAGACAAACAGACAGACAATCAAAAATTTTCAAAATGATTAGCTATTGATGTATTATTGGCATGCAAGTAACTCCCTCAGCTCAATTTAAGGCAGTTATTTCGATATTTACAGACAGACACTTCAATTTTATTTATACATGATAGAGGCACGCTACGCCTACTTTATGGTTTTAGCAAATGGGTTTCCTGACCGACTAGGGCCAAGCTCTTACAGAATAGTGGCCTAAAATAGCAGCTTAATGCTGCTCTGTTCTTACTATCAGGTGGACTGTGTGATCGTTTGTGACAAATTATTCTATAAAAAAATTATAAATATATAATAGTAATAAATAAGAATCAATCTATTATGTAAAAATAGTAGTTAATCGATTTAAAAAAAGTATTAATAAGTTCAACAATCATTTATCTTTCTGACAATGTGCTTTTCTGGGGGCACGAGAGTGCCCCCGCCAAGTCGAGCAAAAAAGCGGCACGGCCGTACAGTGTTTTCTCGAAGCAGTTCAGGCCATTTTAGAAACCCTATAACTTCGTTGTGGATAAAACTAGAAGCCTGAGTCTAATCCTAGAACTAAAAATTTTTTATATTTTAAATAAATAGATTGACTTGGCCATCGCACTAAACAATCGAATATAATATATAATAATACATTGTGATTCTCTCAAGTAATACATATTATATTAAATTCGATTGTTTAGTGCGATTGCCAAGTCAATTTATTTATTTAAAACATAAAAGATTTTTAATATTAATATGGTCACTATGAGATGTTGTAAGTTAGCTAATTACGTAATAACTTGAGACAGAAGGACCCTTAAGTAGGGACTGAATAAATTAACCGACATGGATCTCACAACTTTTTACGGTAGAAGAACTGAGTTGCGAGACTTGGTTTTTTTACAAGTTATGTTTTTGATGGCATTATATCATTTATATGCATAACTAGCTGTTCCCCGCGACTTCGCCCGCGCGTAATTTGTTCGGTAAAGTTCGGTAAAGTCCGGTCAAAATCGGTTCAGCCGTTTCGGAGATTAGCCGGAACAAACAGACAGACAGACAGAAAGACAGTAAAAGTTATTTCGACATTACAAACAGACACTTCAATTTTATTTATTTGTATAGATGTGATTGCTAGATACGATCATGCGACAAAACGTTGGAATCTTAATTTTTAGACCCTAGCAGAACATAGCTGCGCGCTTCGCGCATAAGGCATGCAATATTATTACCTTAAAATTTTCATTAGCTGACGGATATTATGTTCAAAGTAAAAGATTTTATATTTTTCAGCGTGAACGCGTCAAACTTGGAGAAGTTCCAACTGAAGATTGCTCAGCACGAATTGTATGAGGATGGTGAACCATTGATTGAGGCTGTTCTGAAGGACATGGCGACCCTCCCTATAATACACGCGGGTAAGAGTTACTTCGAATTATAACTAACGTATAAAGGTTTGATCGAAGTGTAAAAGAAACCATTGCCCTACTTATTCCATAGGTATTGTAAACATCGATATGACTTTTCTATTGCCTTATGTATATACCTTTACTATTATTATATATTACTAGCGATCCACCCCGGCTTCGCACGTTGATTTCTGGATCTCGACAACAGAGCCAACTACCGGGTATAAATGTCTATGTATGATGAATCTAAACCATCTAGGGACCCATTGTTTGAAGTCATCACACAAAAAATTGCATCAAAATCGGTCGAGCCGTTTTCGAGTTATAACGAAATTGATGAACAGCAATTGATTTTTATATATAAAGATTAAGTTGACCAAGTGAACGACTAAGGGATTAATGTGACCTCTTATAAGATAGTGGATAACGAGTATCTATATCAAAAGTTAACAGACTAAAAAAAATATCTACACGTAAACTAATACCGTATAAGGTGTGAGTTTGCTCCGTGTTGTGAGGCGTCTGGTACCAACATTGCAAATACGAGTAATCACTGTCTATTACGGTTAATATGGCAGATCCGCCCATTCATTTCAATCAGCATGAGAATAATATAGCCGTAGACCTTTTCCAAGGACTGACGGTGAAATAATAAGTTTTTTTTAAAGTTTAATCCAAATGCAATTAAGTCTCTCTTTTGACATAATTTTGGACTAAATAATATTCAATTTAACAAGCAAACAAATATGAAATAAAAGTAATATCTAGTTGACTGATCTAAGGAGAATATTATGTTATGTAATTTAATCAATAATTTTGTTTCATCGGAATGAGGATTGGATAAAATAATGTTACAATCAGCAAATTCTTTTAAAATATTTTTACACTTAGCTGTTCAAAAAGCAGCATTCTCGGCACACTCTATCAAGACATGTATTAAGTCCTCGGGAACAGCGCATTGTTCACAGTTTGGTGACGGGACTATATTCATAAGAAAAGCAAACTTGTTTGATGGAATGTGTCCAGAACTCAGCCTCATAATCACTACTGCGTCCTTTCTAGTTGATATGTGACTATCAATCCATGGAACTCTGAGAGGATGTGGCTGGACCGTTTTATACCAGATACTTTTTTCTTTAGAGAGTAAATCAAAATATGCCCATAAGTATTTGCAGATTTTTGCACCAGCGCCTAAGCGTACTAAATTTAAATTACTTTTAAATTCTAAAGGCTCTAATATCCACGCCGTTAAAACGTTTTCAATGTCAATGAAGCACCGTACCGTTAATTGTTCTTTCGAATGTAATCAATATATTTACAGTTGAAAACTTTTACATAAATTACTTCAATACTAGAATTTGAAAAATTAACAGGGATTAATAGCGCCTTAACGGATTTATGGGCTCGACACTCCCATACGAGTCTTCTCGATCGTGACGGAAAACATTATAACCTATAAAATATAAATGTTATAAGGAGTAACTTAGTATTATATAAATTAAATGCTTTTAAAACCCATGATGTGCTAGTAAGATCGAAGACAATAAAATTGACCAAATTACAGTTGTATAAGTATGTGTATAAGGGCATACAGGTGGAAATGAAACAGAAAACGGACAACAGTATCTTTCTGGTAATAACTCAAAGTATTAAAAACTGAGATTGCCAACCCACCTGCCAAGCGTGGCAACTAAGTATAACCTCATTATGGACCAATCTATGGGAGAGGTCTATATTCCGCAGGGAACTTTTGATAGGTTGTGATGATAATGATCATGATTGGCAATTTAGTGCTAGTTAATAGACAGTGTTAAGCACTAGTTATTTAGCGTTAAACACTGTCTATTAACGGTGATCGAGCGTGTTGCTTGAATGAGAGTAATGTATGAAGTTTGGCTAAAAGCTAGTGGAACAGGACCGAAAAGGTCTAAGGCTAAATACATAAATATATTACCATCTTGCGTTATAAAATATGGTAATTTAATTTATGATGTTCTAATAAAACCATTACAAACTTTAATGGGTACGCCAATGAAGTTTGTCGGGTTTTTATTTAACAAATAAAATATACTCGTAATATCGATTTCATTTTATTCCGCTGTTAAAATCGCTCCCAAAATACTACTAATCCACCTACATCGAATTACTATCACATGCTACGTTGTCGTCACTCTGTGTTAGTGAGTAGTTTCATAGTGCGATTACCGGTTCGAATTTCGAACTCCAAACACTTTTTCTGCCGTCTTCCAAAAAGGAGACGGTACTCAATTCGACTGTACGTTTTTTTTTTATGTGTGTTACCTCATAACTTTTTACTGGGTGAACCGATTTCGATGATTCTTTTTTTATTTGAAAGCTAGTACTCCTCGTGTAGTCTCATATGAATTTGATCAAGGTCAGAGTAATAGTTTTTGAGTTATTCTTAATAACTTATATTGAAGTCGACTGTACAAAATTTTTAATTTTTAATTATGTACAAGCGTGGTCTTTTCCTGTTCGAGTTGACTCATTAGCTCTGTAGTCATATTGCTGCTGCAACGTAAGTCTACCACGTAAAAAACAAACCAGTGAGTATTGGCGATTTGTGATTATATTACTCGCTAATCTGTTGGGTAGATTATTGTGGCTCTACAGCTATATCCTCGTTAAAATGTGCTGACGACTTTGAGCTTTCTAATACATTCATGCGTATCATCTAAGCCGACATTATTCCCGCATTTATTATTATCAACTTACTTTCTTCCCCTCATCATTGTCTTCGTTAATTCCAAAGCATTTCCACCTCTAAATATAAGCCATCGTTGATGTAAGAAAAATATGCCATAATCGTCTTGCCTTTTTTTTATAGGAGGGGCGAACGAGCATGCAGCTCACCTGATGGTAAGTGACTACCGCCGCCCATGAACAACCGCAACACCAGGGGAATTGCAGATGCGTTGTCGGCCTTTTAAAAAGGATAACCGATGCGCAAAAAGGTTCTCGAGTGGCAGCCTCGTACCGGTAGATGAAGTGTAGGGTGACCCCCCCCCCCCCCCCCCACTAGATATTAAAAATACAATTTATTTAAAGTTTACAAGCGATACGCCCGGCTTCGCATGGGTGATGGATCTTGACAACAATGCCATCTATCTTGTTGAGGGAGGGGCCTGGTGATCCCATAGCACAGGGCAACCTAGTTTGGGCACCAGTCTCCCACCTAGATCTTATTTAGTTAATTTTTATAGCTGTTATTTAGTTGTATAGTTCATTGTTACTAAGTTTTTTGTGATGTACTGATTGTAATATGTGGGAGAAAATAAATACCAGTTATTATTATATTATATAACATAAAAAAAAACCATAAACCCAAGAATGTCTTTATATAGTTATTTATACTTAGGGAAGCACCATTTTTATTATTTATTTAAATTGTTTGATTTAATTTGATAACAGTGTACCTAAATGTAAGTATCTGTATCTATATTTCCCTCCCCAACAATATTTTATAAAATCATAAAATCATAATCTATCGGGTCCAACTATAGCTAGAAAACATCAAGGTGATAAATCTTAAATTTTATCAAGCCGTTTAGGAGTAGAAGAATTACGAACACACTCACAAGGTCACAAAGGAATTCCCCGGTCGAGCCAACTCACTCGTTCCGTTATATTATTACATTATATTAAAATAAAGATGCATTGTAGTATTAGACGTATATACATAGGCTGAATATCTTTCAGGTCGCTTGTAGAAAAGCGCCATTTAGTAGTAAAAAGGCTGAAGGCTATTAAGTGAAAGGCTGACTTAGGTAGCTGGCTGCGATATATAAATATATGAATATGAGAATTGACTTTGCTGCTTAGGTAAAGCTGTAGAGGAATATTTAAAAAATATTTATTATATGTACAATAATGAACTTTTGTTGTTATATTAAATATGTATATAAAGATCGACCCAAATTGCCAGACACAATAAAACATCTTTGGACAAACACTAAAGAATTATTTCTTTAAACGAATTTGTAGTATTTTCTTGGTTTTGACTACGCAGAAAAATAATAGTAAGAAGAAAAATTAATCTGTTTTTAACATTTTATATTCAAAATTTTGAGAATTGTAAGACCAGCGCTAAAATTTAGCAACTAACAATTTCATTAGTACTAACGAAACCTGGGTTGCTCTCGTACTGTGAAATTTACGGCGAGCACTTGGCGATTTTTAAAATGCTGAGTTTTTATTTTGTATTCCGATTTGAAAACCACTAAAACCTAGTGCCACGACATATACAACAGATATCGCTTTACTAAACTCATCCGCGTCTATTCAAAGCTTAAACAGACAGAGGTATGTATATTAAATGAAGTCGGGTCTGCAATCAGTTGTGGGGTTAGCGGTCCGTCGGACAATAGTGCCACAACAATCTCGCCCTTTATTTCGAATTGGACTTAAATATTTAAATCACTTAAATGGGTTTCATTGTAGGGACGACTTTAGTGTGTCATTCAATATATACGTTCGGTATATTTAGACTTCACTGTCGTTTTTTTTTTTCGTTAATCGCTTATTTTGAATGAGAATATAATATAAGGTATATTAAAGGTATGTTAAAAAACAGTATAAAAGCTGTGATAAAAGTTACCAACTATAAAAAAGGTATTGGATACGTTAATTAGATTAAAATGACATGATGCTGATTATAATGTCTCTATTTTCAAAATTGGCCAAGCATGAATATAAATATTTGCACGTACATACCAAATATTTAATATATATAATATTTGAGAGGTCATACAATATACAAGTGAAATGTGAATCAATCGCTTTTCCAGGCCAAAAATGATAAGCTTAAAATTAAATTGAAACTAACTGTCGTGTTCTCCTTGCTGAATCACTGAGAGCTTGTTTGTCTGTAATCAAAGAAAGACTAAGGTTATCCCTATAATCTCTGCGCCTAAAAGCGATATGAAGGAAACAGACCAATGTATGTAAAATACACTGCGTGTTCGTCAGACTTTAGATAACAATCTCTCTCTCCCATTCATTCATCCATCCATCCATTACAGCCTATAGAAGTCCTGTTGAAAATATGCCTGCCTCATAATAGATTGCCTCTTGAGGGGATTTTGCCATAGTTGCCACGCTTGGCAAGCGGGTTATCAACCACAGCTTTTATTATTTTGAGTTATTATCAGGAAGATGGCACTGCCCATATCCTGTTTCATTTTCCCTCTGTCGCCTCTTACGACACCCACGGGACGATATGGGGTAGTGGATATTCTTACACCGCCACTACAAGGTTATTATCTCTCATTATTATTATTAATATTTTAACTATGAAACTCTTCTTATAAAATTATAAGGCAAACGCCTTGCCCCAGTGCTGTCCGAGCTCATTATGCAGAGTGATTTATTTTAAATTAAATATGTCTCTATTTATTTATTTTTTTGCAGAACAAAAAGAAGGGGGAACCCAGTTGAAGTTAATAATCGATTACCCTAATGGTATTCAAGCGCTCTTCAAACCCATGAGGTAAGAACTCAATTTTATTAAAAACATAATATTTTAATGTCCCACTTCACACGAATAGTCTCACATAATATGGCACATTACATGTTATAAGTAAGTTCTTTTCTGCTATATTTTCACATTGTTAAGTAAGTAAGTTACAAGAGGTGTTTCGAGTGCTTTGTCGTGGACGGCTTGTGGAAAGTTTCCTTTCACGTCTACCACCTCATCGAGTGTTGTGCGTTGTTTCCATTCACTAAACTTCTGGAACCTTCTTTCGCATGATCGGCTTAAAGGTTGGTCTACTACTTTCTACAAGAGTTATCGAAGTGAGTAGTTTCTTTCTAATATTATTTAATGATGTTGGAATTTTGTTTCTAAACCATATAACTTCGTACAATGGACTACTTTTTAAATGAAATTAAGGCTTTAATCGACAGGGTGAAAGCAGTGAGTACTTAGTTACTAAGCTAAACGCATACTTAGATATACTTGAGTTGTGCAGGCTCGAATCTCAGGCGAAGCCAATGCTTCTATAATAACTAATATACAGGGTTCTTTTGCAATAACCGGCCAAATTTGCAGAGAAGATCAGTATAAGTAATATAGACAAAAAGACATATTAATAAAAAAATATCAAACATTCTCCCTTTTTTATCTTTTAAATTCAAAATGCATGGTAATGCATTATTTTAACTGATTGTCATTCATAAAAATCTAACGCCTACTGTTTTACTACGCACGCACACATTCATAAGGGTCGATCGGTCGGCAAATTAAACGTTGTGAATTGAATCGCACACAGTTTTTACGTGGTAGAACCATGCTGGAGCTGTATTAGTAGTATAGTTGTAGTAGGAATGGGTCGGCTCGACCGGGGAAGGACTACGCCAGACAGAATACCAGCGTAAAATAGCAGCTTAACACTGCTGTATGTTGTATGGTGAGTGTAGAGAACCGGAGACCCCCTTTTACTGGAAACTATGCATTCCATCTTAGTCCTCACGGGTGACAACGCATGTGCATTTTGATAGAAGTAGATGTCTATGGGCCACAGCAACCACTTACCATCAGGTGGATTGTGTGCTCGTTTGTCACCCTATTCCTATTAAAAAAACACACACACAGAGAAGCGCGCATACGCATAGTTGTTGCCCATAAATCACATTCAATTTGAAATAAAAGTAGAAGCCTTATTAACTCGTATGTACAAAATATGCAATAATAGTAAATCATTATTTATTTTGAACTCAAGTTTCAAATTTGGCCACTCTTCGAAAAATAACCCTGTATATGTTAATGGCAAAAACAAAAATTTGGATCAAGTTGTATCGCGTGTATCTTAAGTGCCTTAGACTCTTCAGCCTTGTTTTTATGGAGCAATGCAGGCTGTTCAGTAATGACTTAAACCCTATAGTGTTCCTTCCTGGTAGACCTTCGCTGTATATTGACATGGTCACGGGAACGCATTGGCACTTGCCTGCGGGTCCACTACTGTTAAGATATCGTGTGCTCGGGTGTGTGATATTAGCTACAGTGGCCAGAGACAGAGGATATCCCTCCGTTGCAGTCCACCAACATGCAGCAAGCAATCGGAGTGGATTCGCTAAGCCTACTAAGAGCGATCATTTCGGGACGAACCTTCACCTTGGGCCAACCAAATTGGTTTTTCTTTGTTTACCGTTGGTACAGTATGGTTGGTTTGTTTACGGTCGGTTACGGCTACTAATCGATCCTCCCCCACTCCCCACCTTCCAACCTTTTCAAACTGGAACAGAACTGTGGATGAGTGCGTGCTCGGTTGTCATTCTTGTAAAAAAATTGTTTATAAATAAAGGATCTTGTTTATAAATAAAGAAAATATTTTTAATTACAATCACAAATATAATTTTAAACAACTTCTCATAAAACATTCAAATAATATAATATGATTTTTACTCTATGTTATTTGTTATAAAATGTATCTTGTATTCTATTATATATTCCACGACATAATCTACTTCTATATCAAATTTCATAAGATAGCTAGATAGAATAGTTGCAGCATGACTGAAAGATAAACATCCATACAAACATATTTTGATATTTATTATTACGGGTATGTAATAAATTTAATTAATTTTCTTTCGTTCTTAGATTTACATTAATATTTTCATTGGCGTCTTTATTCGCCTATTAAATTGGTGAAGACGTTATCATATTATGAAAGATAAATGTATTTTATAGATTCACACTGAACTTATTGAAGGAAAGGTAATCCGACGACATATCAACAGACCCCGATGTATCTCAACATACTCTAGGGGACGATAAATAAAGAGACTCGATAGTAACCCGTGCCCGTGCGAGATGCCTGATAGCTTTATCTTTTGCGAGTTAACTTTATGTGAAGTTTACAATATCTAGAGGTGTATTTCTAAGATAATATTAGACCCTCGTTCAATTTATTTTCCTGTTACCTAAAATAATTGTGGTGGACATATATTTAAGAGATATCTATTTGCATTTCTGTGTATGCCTTTGAAAATCCAATATCTTTATTTTTAGATATCAATTATTATCAACGTATAAACTAAATTAAAAAAAAATTGTTCACGGCAAAGTCAGAATGTACATTACTAGACGATATTTTTCACACATTGGAATATTAAATAAATTTGCAGTCCACTTGCAGTTGTGATGGGCTGTAAATTACAGCCGATGATTGCAGCCCACAAGGAGGGTAGTTGACACTGCAATGAGGCTGTTAAGCTACCGTCTATTAAACAGGAAGATCGATTAACACTACGTAGGTCACTCAATACGTTTTGAGATTATTATACTCGAAATTTAAAAATGGAACGCATCCCTGTTATATATTTCTAAAAAGCAAATTTATTCAAAAATAGACCTCCATAAGCCAATCGCTCAATATAAAAAAAAAACAAAGTTCTATTAATTTTCCTGCAATACTTCCCGCGCTTTTAATTTAAAACGATGGATCTTAACAAAAACGTCACGTTTTCTTGTAACGTTTCACCGCTGGGGCTTAAGGAAGAAGCTTAAGAAGTTTTACTTCGTACGTGTGTACACAATTAAATACTCGATTTTTTTTTCATTTCACTCTGTCACCTCTTATGACACCCACGGGACTTCTTTTATAAATAAGAGCATGCCGCTCACCTGATGGTAACTCACCGCCGCCAATGAACAACTGCAACACCACGGGAAGTGCTAAGAATTATGTAGGGTAGTGGATATTCTTGCACCAACACTATACGATGATTTATAATGTTAAACTTAAAGTTTTATTGACCGTTTTAATAAAAGTATATTAGCGTAAGTATTTCGTGTCAAATTCATTTATATTTTTCGTCAATTACATAGGACATGAACTCCGTCTTTCGACATTCAATACCGAGCACTTAAGTAAACGAACTTGTGACTTATTATTCAATATTAAATAAATTTTATTCTAAAGGACAGAGGACCCTTGCGCTTTCCGAGAGGATATTTGATATTCCTCTTTATAGATTTATTTCACTCGGTTTCAATTTACATCATAGGCACCTACTTAGAATTAAATTTCATGTCCTTGGGCTTTTAAAGTAAAGGTTTTTGTTACTGTAGTGAAATAAAGGACCTATGATTTTTGTAAAATAAATTTGAGTAGTTTATCCATTCATTGCATTACCGCCTATAAAAGTCCACTGCTGAACATAGGCCTCCCTCATAGACTGCCTCATGGGAGGGATTTTGCCATAGTAGCCACGTAGTAAGCGGGTTGGCAACCGCAGTTTTTGGAACGAAGTTCCTTATCGCACGGTACGAATTTGACGGATGGGGACTAGGCGAGAAGAAGTGTAAGATTTTTCCGTCGACTCCCTTTTTATAGTGTAAGCGAGATGGAATAATATCCATCTCCCTCGAACTTTTTCTTATCTTGCTAATGACGCTTCATTTTAATAGACGCTAGTAATTCATTTGTCTGTATTTGTTAATCAATAATATAATACCTACGTTTATCAATAATAATATACTACGAAAGGAACTTCGTTCCAACTGAGTGTTCCACGATACTCACGCATGTTTTTTTTATTATGTTCAGTTGTTATCAGTAAAATGCTGCTGCCTATCTCCTGTTTCAGTTTCGCTCTGTCGCCTCTTACGACACCTTCGGGACGATATGGGGTAGTGGATATTCTTACAACGCCATTACATGGTTAAATGGGTTAATGTGTTGTAAAATAGCAATAGCACGATTCCATGTATCGTCACCTAATATTCATTTATAGGACCTTAAATTTAAAAAAGAAAATTTTAATATGTTGCATTACTTATAGAAAGACACCGAAAATTGTACAACGAGACCGCAAATAATATATATTGATCTTTTTAAGTTATCCTATGAACTTACATTCACAGATTCTTTGCTAGATTCGCCCTCCACTAGATGTAGCGGCGAACTGGTAAGATGTTCGATGGTTGTAGGAGGCTTAAGACACACCACCACCACAAAAGTGTAATGGGGCATTCCTTAGAGGAGGCCTATGTTGTCTATGATGAGGATGATAATGAATGATTGTAATTTTTAAGTTAAAAAGGAGCAAAGAGCACTAAGGTTATTAAAAATTATATACTTAAATATGCAAGTTAACGGCATCTCTTTTAAATTTGACGTGTCAGAGCCGTGCAACTAGATTTAATTTAGTGAGCGTTGCGGCTGCAACTAGTTTTATTATACGCATTTTTTCTTTGACAGAAGGGAACAAATTTTTTTATTTTAAATTATTTAAAGAATTATCAAAATCATATAAGCGCTACAGATCAGCGATAAACAATGAACGCTCGGTTAGATCTTAAGATCACTGATGGCGGTTAAGCGGAGTAGTTAAGCGTCGTTACCACACCGTGCTTTATCTATGATCAGAGTAGGCTGTGGTTGCTCTGGGGATTGTGCGCCGTGCTTCAACAATTAATTTTGATATACCTACGTTAAAAGAATATGATGATAACTAGCTTTTTTTTATTATTGAATAAGGGTG